GATCGCTTAGATGAATAGTTCCTTATACATATTTATTTCACCTTTAGTGCAAATATTTATTCACACATTAAATTGTTGGAATAAATGAACACATTGCCTGAAGTTTTCGTGTGGTCGGAATGTAAAATAAAGATTTTGGGATTATTGCCACAATTTTGTTCTACATTGTGCGACATCAAATAAGGAAGGTAGAAGTTTATGGATGCTTGGGTGGCTTAGTGGGTTAAGTGTCCCAACCCTTGGTTTTGGCTCAGGTCACAATTTCAGGATCCTGGGATCAAGTCCCACATGGGGCTTTAGTCTCAGTGGGGAGGCTGGTCAGTATTCTTTCTCCCTCACCCTCTGCCCCACTCCCACTCATACGTGCTCGCTCGCTCTATCTCTCTAAAGAAAGAAAAATAGAAAATCTTTTTAAAAAGCCACGGAAGTGCAAAAACAGACTTTTTAGTGTATCTAGTATACCTACATGCTTTGAGTTAGAGTCAAAAGAGTGTGTTTGTGATCTTTTAAAGGCTTTAAGACACTTAAAGCCAATAAAAAGAAATGCCTGTAAAGTGTGTGGTATTGCTCTGAGGGTTTGGAAGTTTCTCTTTTAAAGGCTGCTCTTTATTGCACTTTACTGTCTGTCTCTGTTGATACATTTCTAAGGGTGTAGATACATTCATATTAAGTTTGAAATAGATTTCGGCCAAGACTACCTAAAACTTGCTCTATCCTTAAATTATTTTAAGGTGTGGAACTACTCTGCCCCTCCAGAAACACATTGAAAGTGAAATTTTGAATGGTAGGCAGACCAAATACAATTAAATCGCCTCCTAGATTCTCAGAACACCTACTGCATTCGAAGCATTAACTTAGCATTGTTTACCTTGAAGCAATTTACTATTATCCAGGGATTGAAAGGCAAATACTTTTGTTTTTTGCAGTTTTAAAATCCAAGTACTCAATTAAAAAAATATTGCCCCCCAGTTTAAGAATGATCCCTGGCCTTACAAACTTCTAAGTATTAGAAAGTACTTGATGGAATAGATTTTTGTTAATGAAATAAATAAGATTATTTCATGTGAGTAAATCATTGACTGGGAAACATACATAGTAAAATGTTTTCCATTAAAATATGGTGATTATTTTATAATTTGATAAAAGAAAGTTTCTTAATCTATGCCATTATGTATAGATGAGAATAACTGCACCATCATTGGCACTCAATTATTAGTTTGCATTTTTGTGAAGAATCTGAAATATTCACGGCTATTCTATTAGTGTGGTCATATAAGGAGACAGAGAAGAATTTATGTTGTTGCCCAGTCTCCAGGAGACTTGAATTTGGGCTCTACCAAGAATGAGTGAGGAAGGTTGTATGCTGCTTCTGTAGAAGGTACCACTGACAATAGAACACCCGTGGACCAAGGATGCAGTTGTGTGGGTCTGTTCATGGTATACAGATTTGTTTCTGCATTTATGCTCCGGAGGATTTTTTGAGTTAACTCCTTGAAAGAGCTGTTCTCTGAAAAGTGAGATATCCTCATGTCATAGATGGTGACCCTTGAAAGGTACAGCAGGGACGTTTTTACAAGTAAACTTTCAGGATTGCAAAGTTAGAGTAGCTGGGAACTTCTGTACTTCCGGTGGACTTGTAACTGTGTGCAAGGGGAGGAGCTCAGGCCAGTCGATGGAGATATACCAGAACCCCAAACACTAAGAAATGTTTATACAGAGTCAGCTTAAGGAGTGGATATTTTAACAAAGAAAGACTTAGAGCTGAGGGTCTCTGCAGCACTACATCACAGATGATCTCTTAAAGACAAAAGATATGTGGGTCTTTCTTTGCACATGAAATGCCAAAGGAAAGGATAAATGTTGACCTACCAGATGAGTGGTTGTTTCCTTCCCTTTGGGGAGGATTGGAGCCCCAAAGTCATGGGTATGAGGTTGAACCATATGAAGATTTCAGTGCTGGCCCAGTAACAGAATTTAATTGGATGATATGGTTTTAGGAGATATATTTGCGAATTAAAACTCCAATATTCCCAAGAATCTCCTTAATGACTGCAAACTTAACCAAAATTTTAAAATTTCATTAAATCTTGAGCGTTTTATTGAACTGCAGTGAGAGCAGATGAAAAAGGCAAGAAAACAGAGAGAAACCAAGATTCCTCTTTTTCTTGCTATGTGTTTATGTGCATATGTATGTATATATTCCCTTATTTACTGAATTGTTTGAAACTTGATTGTAGACATCATGACATTTCATCCCCAGTACTGCAGCAGATACCACCTAAGAACACAAGGACCTTCTGTGTAACCACAGTGTGGTGACCACACTTGAGAAATTTCATGTTGATATGATACCTTGATTCCGATTTCCCCATGAGTCGCAATATCTTTCAGAGAGTTTTCTGTGATGCATGATTCAGTGATAGCTACACATTGCATTTATTTGTCATGTCTTTTAATCTCCTTTCATCTCCCATCAGTTCTCACAGTTGGTCTTCTGTGGTCATTTATGACATTAGTGCTTCTGAAGCCCGGACGAGTTGTGTTGCAGAATATTCCTCCATTTGAATTTGTCGGATTGTTTTCTCATGTTTGAGATTCAGATTCTAAATGAATAAACAATAGATAGATAGAGAGGTAGACAAGAGGGGAAGGAGAGATAGGAGTGAGAAAGGGAAAGAGAGAAAAGGAAAAAGATGCGCATGATTTGATGAAAATTTGTTCAAACTAAAGAATCCAAAGTCTAGTAGGTTTCTATTGAGACAGTATTGATAAGCAAGTGTGTGGAGTGGTGGGTGAGGGTACATGGTGCTTTATTGAGAGTTAAGTATTTCTGAAATAGTACAGTGAAAACCTTTTGCTTAAAGGCAAGGGAATAAACCTTGAGAGTTTCGGTTGTGTGCTAAGTTAAATGTAAAACTCAGTGAAAACCAAAAAATATCAAACCTGTTCTTTTAGTTTATATGTAAAATAGCGAGGCAATTTATTTTTCTTAATATATGTAAGCCCGTTTCTTTCATGTCATTTAGCTCCAGCAAATTTGTTTCTTTAAAACCCTCTACTGGGCTCACAAAGTGGAAGATGATCTTCAAGAGTTAATGAGAACCTACAGACACTATTCCAGATAGATGAGAATTTAGTCTGTTTTTAAAAGCCTCCAAAACAGGGATTCATGGACCCCATCCTAAAAAGAAGACTCCTATAAAAATCTGTTCAGAAGTAAATCTTATTTTCAAGCTGTCAGAAAACAAGAACCAGATAAAATCATCAGATATCAAAGGCAAAGAACAGCTGAAATGAGTTTTCTATCTTGCCACTGTATCTTCACATTAAGTGCCTACTTCACCTCCTCTCCTAGCCTCTAAATAAATACAAAGGGCACATGTAATTTTAGGAGCTCTGCTAAGAAATCACAATGTTCAGATGGTTTTTGCTATAATTTATAGGAACCTTCCTCTGCTTGTTCTTGACATTTCTTTGGATTTACTTGGTAAAGGCAGACTTGTAGAAAAACAAACATACCCTGAGTAGGAAAGGTACTTCATTTCCTGTTGGAACATGGCTCTGATTGCTGTCCTTGGAGTCCTGGTCACCATACCCAGTGAATAATTACACTCTGGATCAGGGAAGGGCAGTCTTACTTGTCGTGGTTTGTTTTCTGGGATTTTCTGTTACTACCTGAACTGGAGCGGAAGTGGACTTGGTAGTTGGCTTCTCTAAGACTCAGTGGACACAGAATTGTTGAGAACTCAGGTTGTGTGATGTTGGTTATTAAGTGAAATGTTGTATGCAGAGGAAAGTCCATTCATTATACTTTTGTTTTTTTTTAAAAACCTTTTATTTTGACAAAACCAGGCATGCTGTATTGAATCCCATAACCAAATGGCATGCGTACCTGTTGCTTGACTTCTGTGATGATCAACTAGCTTCTTGGGAAATTTGTTTCATTTTTATGCCTACCCATTCCCTACCACCATTTTGTTTTAATGCAAATCTCAGTTATTATAACATTTGATTCCTGTCAAATTGACAATTTGACATGTACATAGTAGTCATCTGAAATGGTCATTCATTGTCTGTAGGACAGCAACCGTAGGTCTAATAAATAAAAAAGTGATGTCACCAGAGAATTTCTGTCTTGAAGAAAGAAACATTATTATTATTTTTTATTTTAAGGATTTTATTTATTCATGAGAGACACACACACACACACAGAGAGAGAGAGAGAGAGAGAGAGGCAGAGACATAAGCAGAGGGAGAAGCAGGCTCCATGCAGGGAGCCTGATGTGGGATTCCACCCCAGGACCCCAGGATCCACTCTGAGTCAAAGGCAGATGCTCAACCACCGAGCCACCCAGGTGCCCCAAAAGGAACATCGTTAAGAGTGAATTCTCTTTGTTCTTTGGGCCACCTCTGATGATAGCAGAGTCTAACTCTGACTTTCCAGAAACATAATCATGAACAAGTCAGTCACTTAACCATTTCTGAAATTAAACTTTCCCATTTAAAACATGGGTGTGATGCCTGCTGTATCTATTTACAGAATTCTGATGAAGATAATTTGTGATCTGAGATGTGCTTTACAAATAATGGCCTGTATGTTGTACACCTGAAACCAACAGAACATTTTGTGTTAACTATACTGGAATTAGAACTAATAATAATGATGATGAGGGCCTGGTTTGCATATTCTCCTTCAGCATAGGTTTTCATATTTTTGAAATGATCAATGTTCAGGACTTTACTGGCATCAGAACATGTAAAGATTGGGGAAGTAACCATCTAGAATATTTTATAATCTAGATTCTCCCCCACTCCCTTCTCAAGTAAATTTTATTTGGGCATTTTATTTTTCTCCAAGCTGAGATCCATTTTGGTTGACTCATTTTCCTCCCTCTCTCTCTCTCTTAGATAGTAAAACATTTGGGAATGGTGTCTTGATCAAGTTCACTTAAAATTTGAAAGATGATCAGAATTTTTTTTCCTTCTCTTTTCTTTTTTAGCTTTGCCTCCCCGATTGAAAGAGATGAGAAGCCAGGAGTCTGCTGCAGGCTCTAAACTAGTGCTTCGGTGTGAGACCAGTTCTGAATACTCCTCTCTCAAATTCAAATGGTTCAAGAACGGGAATGAATTAAACCGAAAGAACAAGCCACAAAACATCAAGATACAAAAAAAGCCAGGGTAAGTGTAATGCATATAATAGCAGAGGCAGTGTCTAGCAATAGAATGCTATAAAATATAAAAATTATTTATGGTCCCAATAAATGAATTTTTTTATGAAAAAGCTATGATCTATAATAGATGGAAAGGTTTTTCATTGTATGATGGCCAGAAATTGTATTATTATATAGGAAAGAGTTTGAAGTTTCTGATTCTTGCAGCTTCTGGAAAGGAAAGAAAAGAAGATTGGATGGGAGAGAACTTAGAGGATCTGGAGAGAGAAGTAGTAGTAGTAGCAGCTATAATTGGAATATGTTACATCTAAAAATCGGTTGCTTTAAAATAAGACAAATGCTGTTGAGAATATCAGTGCCTTCCACAATCAACATCCCAACTTCATGAGAAAGCTCAGTAAATACCCAGCTTTATGGAAAGAGAATGCAATTGCTTGAATTTGAACTATTTTCAAGTAAGAGGTTAATACATACAGTTATACCTAATAAGATTTTTTAATGGACAGTTCTGTGATACTACATCACCGCTGTAGCACATTAAAACATCAGATAATTTTGGCCAGCAAAAATCTTAAATCATCCTACCTTCATTGAGGAGGGAAAGTTGGAAGGGCTCCATGTGATTCCCGTAACATCTTGGAGGCGTGTCCATACCAACTCTAAAATGAGGCTCCTTTATTATTCCTATCCTCTTGATTTTTATATATTTCTTGAGTTAAAAAATCCTCTTCTAATATCAAACTACATTTTTAAATTAGGGAAGAGATAAGTACATGAGAGTTTTGCTTGTAAATAGTCCTTTAATTGATGTGACATGTCTAATAGTACTTCCAGGCTCAAAGATACATTTTCTTTTCCTCACACTTGAAGGATTCCAGTGAAATCCCAGAGAGCAGATGCAACAGCAAAAGAATCTCCTCCTGTACTTTAATTTTATAGAACACCTACCAAAAAGTTGTCACACAGTCATGAACAAGAGACAACAGAGTGATTATAATGGGAATTTAACTTAATCTTCCCAAAGTGTTTAATTGCTGTAATAACCATAATTACTGATTTTTTTCCCCTAGTTTCCATGGTTTTATTGACTGTGCCTCTTATTCTCGTTACCGATTATGTCAGCAAGACTCTTTGACTTGGAAATACTATAATACGATGTGGGAAAAAGGGGGGCTTGGGTGGCTCAGTTGGTTAGGCGTCTGCCTTTGGCTTAGGTCATGATCCCAGAGTCCTAGGATCAAGCCCCATGTTGGGCTCCTTGCTCAGCAGGGGCCTGCTTCTCCCTCTCCCTCTGCCTGCCACTCTGCTTTCTTGTGCTTGCTTTTTCTCTATCAGATAAATAAAATCTTAGAAAAAAAAAAAGACGTGGAGAAAAAAAAGAGTGGATATTACTTTGAGGCAGGTGGTTCTTCAATGATACAAAAAAATAACACTGCAAAGTGATATAGTATTTTTTTTTTTTACAAAATCTCGTTATTTATTATATCATTCCCATAGGTAGGAAGGGAAGTTGAACCATACATGGGGGCTAATTTTGCATACTAAGAAATTAAGATTCAAAGAAGTGTTCTGTCTTGCCTTGAATCACACAACTAGTAGGAAACTAAGCTGGAGCACAAATCTATTCCTTGGGTTCCTTAACACCTTATTCCTTCTTTTAAAAAGGGAAAGCGTACATGTTTAATAACGTGTACGTGTGGGGAGGGAGGAGGTAGAGTGAGTGAATGGAAAAAAATAACCATGACGCTTATAAAGAAGTTTAATAAGAAAAGGAATACTTTTAGATACTGGATTGAATAGAATTTGGTGTCTGTTTTGTTTTTCATCAGTGAAACACGTTAGTAAGAAACTAAGTTATCTTCACATGCAGGAGAATGTCTCATTTCTTTCCACACGGCTGTCAAATGATATCAGTAATATTTAAGTGCTCACAGAAGGCTTTATGCTGGGAGTGTGGGGGAAATGGGAGAAGCATGAGTGTTATCTCTGCCCCCGGTGGGGAGGGTGTCACAGATTGTATAGGGATTCTCTGGTTCAGCCTTATCTGAGACATAGCTGTTCCAGAGGGTATTGCTACAGCACTCTTAGGGCTGGGGGGCCTTCGGGAGTTTTCAAGCATCCCATCCATTTGCAAATAGTGACCTTTTAGAAAATTATTATTTACATTAATGTAAATTCTACTTTAAGTCAAGATTTAATCAGGGAGATATCCCTAATGTTTGATCGAGTGCATCATACATACATTAAAGCCTAGTGTTAAATTGTAGGTTACTGACTGTAAGTGCCATGAGGTTGGGAAGTAGGAGGGACCCCCCAGGAGCTTCCTGAGTAGCCATGAGGAGGTGGATTTGAGGCTGCTGAGGGAGGAGAATCTCCTCTGGCTGGGTGGGTGGGCTGGACTGGGCCATTATAGAGAAAGAGCAGAATTGTAGCCAGTAGCAAGTTCTGTTTACAGGACAGTCAAGAGGTCAGCAACTGGTTGGATGGGGAATTTTGCCCTTTATGGGACAAGTTGCTGTGTGTCAGACCGTGGGCTAGATGCTCGGTACACAGACATGAATGACAAGCTCCTTGCTCTCAAGAGGCAAGTGGTAGAGAGGGGATAGAGTTAGAATACTCAATCTTAAGTGGCACAGTAGTGATAGTCATGGGATGTCATGGCAAGAAGCTAGCACAGAAGGGGACTGGGTCAGGGATGGAGGAGGCTTCCAAGAAAGAAGAGGAGGAACAAGGGAGGGAGAAGCTAGGTTTATCTAGGCTGAACAGAACAAAACATCTTCTAACTGGGATTATTCAGTCTGAGGATGATGCTTGGGGAGAAACAAATGAAGATGGGTAGATAAGGAGAACAAGGTTTTGAAAACAGTACATATATGCGTAAAGAGGTAATTTGTTACATGGCTCGGATGACATATAAAAGGATCATTAGTATTCAGAAAAGCATTTTCATGTTGGCCTCATAGGTCCAGACAGCTAACAGCACTGTCTACATATTAATAAATTCCCATTATACCAGAAAGGCCCATATTCAGAAATTACTTCTTTTAAATAGCAGCCTTGCTGGAAAGAATTAAATGGAAAACAAAAAAGAAAAAAGATGTTTTATTCAGCTTATGTGGCTGTAAATTACTCTTGACAAAACATTGTAACATAGTAGATCTTCCAAAAATAGGACACTTTGTGTAAAGTGAGCCATTAGTGTTGTCAACTTTTTTTAAGGTTAAAGGACCAAACGGAATCCAAACTTAATGAACATTTGCAGGGTGCCCTATTATTTCATCTTGTCCAATAAATATAAGAGAATGGATACTATTATTGTTATACTCATTTTTTAAAAATGAATGCCCGCAGCATGAAGGAAGTTTGGTTTCTTGCTGTAGATCTAATGGCGATGAATAGTAAAGCTTGGATTTGAAATTAAGTCTGAATCTCTGCTTCCTGTCTTCTCACAGTTACTGGTGGTTTTGCTATGTATAGTAAAGTCACAACACAGGGCTAGGGTCACTTACGGACGTAGGGTAATGTCTTTAATAAAATTCTCATTTTTCAGTTTCATCTACATATTCATAATTTTTCATTACTAAGATGTTCAAACTCTTAATGGTTTGCAGTGGTTGCTCTGTTCCTTAAAACTTTATCTTAGGCTTTGATCAACCAAGCAGAGGTGAATTGTCAGGTTTAGGATTTCCTTGAGATTCTCTCTTTCTTTTCTCTCTCTCTCTCTCTCTCTCTTTTTTTTTTTTTTTTAAGAAAAAATGTTGACTCTTTTCCATCCCTTAGTCTAGGTTTCTTTTTCACTTAATCTAGATCGTACATAGGAACCAGAATTTCCTTTTCATCCCTGAGTGCTGCGAAAAGACTTCACACCAATCAGCAATTTCTGTTACTTTGTGAAGTCTTCTCATCCTTCTGCTCCTGCTCCTACTCAAACTACATTCTTACATGTTCTTCCTATGATTTTGAATTTACATCTGAGCCTGTGTTTGTTGTATTTGGCAAAGCGATACGTGGGACCAATTTAAAAAAATGGAAACTGCCCTCATGTTATGTGTCTGCTTATCCCTTTGTTCTGTTTCCTCTGCCCGGTGGATAATTTTGACCAAGAAAAGTGGTTAAAGAGCATGACGTATGACAGATTCATATTCGAGGCTGCCGGATTGGCCTCGTTTAAATATCTGTTCTATGTTAGCCTTACTAGAGGCTGACTTCCCACTGTTTGTGTATGGCACACTTTTCGGATGCCCTTGGTTCTGTCTCAGCTCTTCATTTCCACTCTCACATATTTTAATTTTGTTTGAGATTGGGTCTAATTGGTTTTGTCAAATTTCTGTGAAAATTTTAGAGGAATACTTTCTTTTGTTGTCAATTGTTGCAGGTCCTTTGACTCTATACTAGAAAAAGTCCACACACATCCCCTTCTTTTATCAGTTACGCAACTCTTGGAGGTCATTTTAATTTTATATGTAAGGAAATCTCAAACTCATTAGGTATAAATGGGAATTCTCAGTGCCTATTTCATATGGCTTATGTGAGGCATTTGGTGCAATGCCTCTTTTTGTATAGTATGACAGTTGCTTGTGAAACCCTTCTCCTCCTCCTCCCTTATCCTTCTTATTATTGGCAGTTTGACAGTATCTGAAGCTGTATTGAACACACACACACACACACACACACACACAGGCATGCTTACACACATTCATGGAGTTCATATATGATTCCTTAGAGATCAGGGGAATAGATTTATATGAACTGAGGAGATATTCCCTATATGCGTTTAAGTTGCCTTGGCCTATAAACTGTGGTGGAAGAATCAAGCCAAATTATGACAAAGAAGATAGTAGTTTTTGGAACCTTGAGTCCATCCTCTGAGCACTTATTGAAAAAATAGTTAGCATTTTGATATTCAAAAAGGAGAAATTAGTATTTAGAACTTTCATATTTAAATCAGTCTGTCTTAATTTATTTTTACATCATATTGTTTTTCTTAATCCAAAGGTAATATGTACCTATAAAAAATCTAAATAGTGCAGGAAGATGAAATGTAATTGTAATAATAGCTAATACTTATTGGGAGCTTACTGGATTCCAAGCATTATTTTAGACACTTTACATGAGTTAACTCTTTTAATACTTGTAGAAAATGAAAATCCACCAAAACATCAACCATCAACCCCTCCCAGGTTTCTAGATAACTCATTAGTTCAAGAGCAAAAAAGTTATTTTATGATTGGATGGGAATGCAACACTTTTTCCAAGTTAACTTCCTTCCTGTGGAGAACATATGGTAGCCTATTGAAGAGAGTACAACAAGACTGTTGTATCCATACTTATCAAAGTCTCAGATCTTTGCAATGTATAATTTTCAAGAAAGGTTTGTCTATTTCTACTTTCTTCCTAGTTCCCATGCTGTACACTAGGACCTACAGATTGGAGTCTCATAATTCAATATATCATTGGAGTTCACAGGGGTCCCAATGATCATTTGGATCAGTGGTTTTCCCATTGTGTCCCTGGAGAAAATCTTAAGTTTCCACTGAACTGAAAATGAGCCACTCTGACCTGAACACCTTTGTCTCTTTATGATAGTTTTGAATATGAGGTTCTGATTTAAACAGGATTTTTTTTTCCAAAATAGTTTAAAACACTGATCTAATTTAATCCTTTCTCTACATAGAGATATTCTTGACAGGTGGTTATCCAGACTTGAATCTTTGCAAAGAGAAAGACACCCTCCCCATTTTTGAATGTTCAAAAACTCTTCCTTATCACTCAAAATATGCCTTTTTTTCCTGTCAGACATCATTCTGCTTTCAAAAGCCTCCCCAAATAGTTTTCTCTTCTAGGTGACAACCATGAAATATGTTTTAAAAAGCTACCCATATCTTGTTCATAGTTGCCTGCCAATAGGACCTCTGTTCTTTAACAGAATCTTCTCTAGTGATAAGATTTATAAGCCCTATTCAATTGTAATCAACCTCTTCTAAGTCCTCTAGTTATTGATATTTTTTATCAGATGCCACTTCAAAACATAATTAAATATTCTAGATGTGATCCAGCCTATGAACAGTGTATTGAGACTTTTATCCAATTTGATTTATGCTGTTTTAATATTAATATGGCCAAACATTGTATAAGTTTCTTTCTTTTTTTTTTTTTTACTAGTTGTTTAAAATGGAATAATGTTAAATGCACGGCTAATTGAAATCCTTTTTTCTGTGTATATTATTGTCAAAGCACATCTCTGCAAGCCTGTACTTCTGTTACTGATTTTTGAACTGAAGTGTATTTGTTATGCTTATCTTGATTAAATTGAATCTTAGTCTTGGCCCATTGATATTCAGTCCCAGAATTCCCAAGGGTGTTCTCTATTGAAAGGATACCTTAGCTGCATGTCGTGCCTGCCTTAGAAAGTACATATTTGCATAAAAACCATTAAGAGGTACTGTTGGAGAGAAATCTGTTTAACTTTGTTCAATGCAATATTTATTTGATAGAAAAATTTTCTTTTATTTCTTGTTCTTTCCCTTATTTTTTTAAGCATAAAATTTATATACATCATTTGGAATAATATTCCAGGAAACACTGTGTAGGCCTATTAGGAGAATTTTTATTTTAAGAACTATCCCTTTAAGATTATGTTAACTATAAAGCTGATTCCCATGTTTCCTATAGTTTGATATAGTTCAGTAGTTAAAATATAAATGGCACAGCATCAAGAAAAAACTCCACGCAAATCATCAGCTTACATGAATAGGAAAGAAAGAGTGTTCTTGGAATTATTATAACCTTGAGGTGTTGTGATAATCTTAGAATTAAGATTGGGGGCTTAACAAGAAAAGTTATCATTTTCTTACTTTAGGAATTCACTTTCCTTCTGTGTTGAAAAACAGGATATTATTCCTCAACCTGACGTTCTTCATGATTTACCTATCAATTATTATTAGTGGTTTCATGGTTGTACAAGAAAATTCTTCAGCTAATTATGCTATTTGGGGCTGGATAAGCTTATTGTAGTATTATGTATTGAGTTGCCATCTTTGCTTCCGACTTTCTTTCTCCTGCTTTCATCCCAAGAGCCCAGGCAGTCAGGACCAGGTGTGAGTATACAGGAATGCTTTTTTTTTTTTTTTTTAAGATTTTATTTATACATGAGAGACACACAGAGAGAGGCAGAGGGAGAAGCAAGTGCCCTTAGCGGGGAGTCTGATGTGGGATTTGATCCCAGGATCCCGGGATCATGTTCTGGGCTGAAGGCAGACACTCAACCACTGAGCCACCCAGGTGCCCCTACAGGAATGCTTTTATTTTTTTATTTTTATTTATTTATTTTTTTACAGGGATGCTTTTAAAAGACTTTAGTAAACTCTACCAGTCCCAGTGGTTCCGTGTTTTTAAATCATGGAGACTGCTTAAATTATTGGCTATACGCAACAGTAGTAAAACATAGATGAATCCAAATCACAACATTGCCTATGTTGAAAGAGTGTTGAATATTGATTTAATATGCAGTTGTGCGTGCTGTTGTTATACATTTATTTCAGTCTTAAGAATGATTTGTGTCCTTTATGCTCCTAGCAATGTGAATCTTCTTAAAGATAAATACCCTTTCTTTTGTAAGTGGTAAATCCTTTTCGTTCAAAATTAACATAAGTCTTGATGTTACTCTACTGAGAAAAGTGCAGAGCTTTTTAATCTATTCTAGCCTTCCTTAAGTCTCTGTCCTTACCATATTTGTAAATGATTTTATACTATTTTAATCTTTCTAGTGGCTGATGATATTTAGATATAGAAAGGGAGAAAATTTACCAATTGGTTTGAAGAAAAAACCTGAGGCATAATGTATTTAGTTTTTGTGGTGGAGTAATAAGAAGAAAAATTAGAGAAGATGTCCTTTAAATTACTAATCTGGATGATAAAATTAGGGCCATGTCCATGGTATAATTTAAATGTGATATACCTCATCTTTACTCTTGGTCAAATCATACGTTTGTGTGTTAGTGAGTCGTGTTGTGATGTGGTATGTGTGGAGTGGGGAAGGGGAGTTTGACAACCCTGAAACCACGGAGAAATAGATTTTGTTGGTCATTGTATTTTGGTGAAATATACTTACACCACTTTGGTCCTGATCTTCTAGGAAGTCAGAACTTCGCATTAGCAAAGCATCACTGGCTGATTCTGGAGAATATATGTGCAAAGTGACCAGCAAATTAGGAAATGACAGTGCCTCTGCCAATATCACCATCGTGGATTCAAATGGTAAGAGATACCTACTACATTCTATTTCTCAGGTAGAGAAATATCCTGTAAGAGGAATAATCAAGACATGTGGTGAGAATTGATAATAAACTGGTGTGTTAAATCTCATCATGAACAAATAAAAAACATGGAAGGAAAACCATATACTTCAAGTATCTTGTGTGTCTTCCATAAAACATACTTCCATAAAAGTGTGTCTCTACTCCTTGAGGTGATATAAATCTAAAACATAAATAGATTTTTATTTTTAAAGAATTTCAATAAGGTCATGAATGGCAGAAACAGGATGGGTTACTAAAAGAGTTTATACTTCCTCTTTAAATTTGTCAGAGAGGGCTGTCAAGTCTTTGGCTCTATCAATAACAGAATATGTGTGTGTATATATATGTGTGTGTATTTATATACAGAATACATATGTATGTGCAGGATATATGTATATTACATACATATGTATGAACATATGTATATTATGTATGAATATATGTGGTGTGTGTGTGTGTGTGTGTAACAGAATATAGTCCCGATTCAGTCCTGGAAATTTGAATGTTCTCATACGTGTTTTTAATTCAGCTGGCTCTAGGTCATAGGAAGTTAGGCCCATCAATTTTTTTAAGTCTGTTAGTTCCGAAATTAGGAGAGTCTTAGACCAAAGCATTTCCTACTATGTATAGTCTTCAGGTTCTGCTTTCTTGAGAATGGTGCCAGGGATATTTGTTAAACAAATGAATGACTTGGAGGTAGAAGGTGTCACTTACCCTCCAGCAACTTCTCTGAGTTATCTGAAGAAGTAAAAGAACCACAGCTGGTGGCCATTTGCTCATGATACTCTACTACTCCACAGTTGGATGGAGTCATCTATAGAAGCTCATGATGAGCTAGCAGTAAGTGCCTCGTCTCTTGAAATAATAAAATGTGACTTCAAAACCCTTTGGTGCTTCTTTCCCTTCTGCATTATGACATTTAACTACTGCCTACACAAGCCCTGTCATCTGCTATAAAGCCAAGCCTAATTACACCGCTCCACTCTAGGCGGAGATGAGAAAGAGTGCCCACTGTAGAAGCCTAATCTCTGAAAGTGGTAAGGTAAAAATGCAAGACCAGCAAGGGAAGAGCAAAAATAACTTTAAGGATCGACTGCATAGGAGACTGATGTAGTTTGTGTCTGTTGACTTAGTAGGACAGGAAGAAGGGAGTAAGGTAAAAATACTGAACAGGGTTGGGAAGATTGCAGGTTAATTCCCAGCTTTCTCTGGATTCCCCAATGAACTGCTGTGTTGCAGGGTAATCAGAGTTCATTACTTTAAATTTAAATGCCTCCCTCCACAGAGAGTAAAGGACAACAGTGAAAAGCAGTTTCTATCACTATTTTTAGGAGCTGCGTTTATAGTTGAAAATGTAAAAGCCATTTAAAATTTATATGAGTAAATATAGCATCACTTTACTCTATCATCAGCACAGGTTAAGCAGTAAGTATGCTGCTGGTGTTATTTTACCCCACGTAGAATTTTATAGGATGTAACTTGAAACAGAAATTTAAAAACCAATTTCAGTGGCCTATTCTTTTTTTTCTCTTTTCTATTGTACTATGTTTGGTGGTTTGTTCTCAGCCTGTCATTGGCTTGGTTCAGTGTGTTTCCCTGTGGTAAATGCTATTGAATTATGGTTTTGACACTTGGATTTGATTTGTAGAGCTATGTATACTATAAATTCCCAGGAAAATGCAATTAGAATAAGTGTCATGGTTTCACTGAGTGCTTACAGTCCTATTATATTATTCCATGTTTTCTGATTTACAGGATTAAGCAGTGAATTATTTACTACTATATTATTCTTGGCCAAAGCCCATAGGGCTTTTGTTGTTGTTAATTTTAGGGTGCTGAGGGATACTATGGCTCTTTATATTTTGCTCATAAGAGAGACGTCCAGCGCATTTTTCCGTATTAATTCATTCAAGAATTGGTGTCATATTTGAGTATTTAGTATTGGCCATAGAGAAATGAAAGTTGGGATGTTTTTGATAATCTATCTTTTTTACCTGACAAGAGTAAAGAGAAGTTTTTGGAATATTATAAGGAAGTCATTCTTAACCAACTAAAATTCTTTATAGAATGCTTCGGTTTTACTGGCTTACATAGAGCATCTGAGGGGAGAATCTCAATTACAATGCAGGGGAGTCTTGTTTTTATTTTCTTCTTAGAACCCTAGGAATAGTTCCTCATTGTATTTAAAGAGAAATGTGAGCTTAGTATGTGTCTGAAAACAGACCCATTCAGGATCATGAGATATTCAGTAGCAAAGGAGGACATGAACCCAGATTTCTTGAATTCCTGATCCAGTGTAGCTCACTCTGTACCTGACTGCATGTTTGGGAATGTTGAAGTAGATTCTTCAGTTTGTGAAGGGGGGAAAAAAAAACTGAAGGAAAGATACGAGGCATAAGGAAGGATAGAGAAGTTCTATGGCGAAGACGTGGAACTTCATTATAACTGGGCATCCAAGAGAAAAATGTACCCAGGGCACAAATAAAAATTTAAGTAAATGGGAGTTTCTGGATCTTTTCTCTAGTGTCTGCCTTTAATGTGCTTCAAATACTCTCTTGAAGCTTCTGTTCCTTTTATCATCTCACCTCCTGCTTTCATCTATGCCTCTTCATAATTACCAACTTTAACCTGATTATGATCTCACTTGGCCATATTTTTTTCATGGCTCTTTTTAAGGCATTCTTTCCATTTTAACTCCTATTGTGTGATTGTTTTCTTAGTTCCCCAATCAGATTCCCTATTGCGAGAATCTGATTGGCAGAACTTACTGTGCCAGACCATTTGCAAAGACCCACGGAGCTTACAAATCATCCACCCTCTGGTCAGGTGCCCACCAAAGGCTCAGCCCAGGAGGGTGAAACTGGAAACATGGCCTCCTAGAAACGCCCTTCCCCTCAGAGGCTGAGGGTGGCCTGCTGTTCATCAGAGCCTGTGGCTTTGGCAGCCACCATGAGACACAAGGCCAAAGTGTTCTGCGTGTTGGGAGACTCGCTTTTCCCCCAACACCTCAGGGACATAGTTGCAGCACAACCAAAAAGAAAATAATCTTTCTGATCCTTCAGCCTCTTCTACTGCCCTCTTTGAATTTGCTCTATTCAGATCCATTCTACTTATCAAAGAAGTCTCCGCTCAGGTCTGGAGCTCTCTGGAACTCAGATACACAAACTTGTGTTGTCATATCCCTGTCTCCCTAGAAATCTGGGCAAACATTGCACAGAAACACTCTTTCAGAGGGAAAAAGCACTCTACTGTGGTTATAAACTGCCACAAGGCCAAACCTTCTCTTCCTAAATGTGTATTTATTATTGACTTGGGCTTAGAGAGTGGAATTCTCAAGAATTTCATTTCCTTCTGGGGGTCCTAGAAAAAAAGTATTAAAAATAAGAATGTGTTATCAAAACATTATATTATGTAGAACTCCCCTTGAGATTTTAATTTATATTTTCTACAAAATATTAGCCATTTTGTTAATTTTGTGCTGTCTCACTCATCTTTCCCATATTTCTCCTATAAGTACATAACTGTGGTCTGATAATATCTGCACAGGTTGCCTTGCTGAAAGATCCTGGTATGCTGCTATGAGCTAATTATCCTAATTTCATACTAATCAAAAGATTCCTTGTGCCATACTGAAATTCTCACACAGGTGCCTTCTTTGCAGTAAGATGTTTAGAATATATTTTGGTACAAATTTCTAGGAGAGATGGCAGGGGCAAGGAGAAGGAAGATATGCACAAGAGATTATTTTCTTTTCTCCCTAGAAAAAAATGAAGAATGTAGCAAGATGACTTTGCTATTTGGTGCTATTTTAAATTCCCAAACCTAACTATAGAACCTTCAGGAAAAAATTAGCATGGATCATAAAAGTCTTCCATCCAACATTAGGAACTTTCTGCAATGAAACTCATTGTTTAGATTTGCTTAGATTAGCAACTAGGTATAAATTAAATAACAAAAAACCCAAGAAGTTCTCCTTGAATTGTTATATGTTTGACTGACATAATGACCATATTTTCATAATTTTTGAATGTTTAGAAAAGAATGTGTATATGTATATATACACACATATATATGTGTGTATATATATGTATGTGTGTATATATATATATATATATACACATACACACACATAGAGAGAGCCAGTCACAATGTTAAGCTATGTTTTAGAAATGTATATATTTTATGCTTTTTCTTTTCTTTTTTTTTTTCTGCCTTTTCTAATGCCTTTTAATCCCAATCTTATTGGAAAAAAGAATTTGCCCTATAGTAGATAGATACACACATATGCAATCTGCTAATTACTTTGGGACTATGTGGATCTAACAAAGACCAGTTGAGATTTCATATAAAGAAGGATCTCATAGGCAGTCATCATTACATGATGGGTTATGGGAGGATCCTTTCATGAATTCAAATATGGCAGCTTAAGAGGCCACATACACCATGCTTACATAGCTTGTACGCTGTATGTTCATTTTTATTTGCCTTTCATTTGGCTTGGTCTTTATGCAGGAGACCTTAATTTCGCAATTAATTCTTAGCTAAGAAGCTCCATAAAAACTTCTGGGCATCTGTTTAGAGAAGAGAGTAATAGACCTAACTGGTTTTCAAATTAATTAAGTACTGCAGTCTTTAAAAGATTAATACAAGAGAATATACAAACTAATCAATCATATCCTCTACCAGATTTTCTTTTCTTTCTTTCTTTCTTTCTTTCTTTCTTTCTTTCTTTCTTTCTTTCTTTCTTTCTTTCTTTTTTTTTTTTATCAGGAGAAAAATTGAGTGAGATTCAATATCCCATAGGAACATTGGGCTACTAGCAATAAATTTGCTGAACAAAAAATATTATTTCCACAAAATTTGCCGAATATATCAGTTGGTCCTTTAAAAAATTGGCTCATAGGGGTAACAGGCTTCATTTCCCCCTCTCTCAAATTGATGGCATTGTTGGAAATGCTGTGATACTGGTAAATAAGTCATTATTAAACTGACAATCATATAAAATGTTTTGTAATATGAAAAGCGTATCAGATTGGATTCCCATGAAGGCTACTAAGAAAGAACAATATGAGTGGAATGGAATTGTCTTTTCAGTTCATAGTATCTATTCTGTTCTGATCATTTATTAATTTCAAAATGTCTCTCTTGTCTTAATACAAGAGAATATACAAACCAATCATATCCTCTACTAGATTTTCTTCTTCTTTTTGTTTAATCAGGAGAGAAATTGAGTGAGATTCAATATCCCATAGGAACATTGAGTTCCGTGAGTAAGCTCTCATCGTGAGCAAGAATAGAGACACTTGAAGATATTCCTTAAATCATCATTACTAGTGCTAATAAATAAGTAGGTCCATTTTTAGTCTTTAAAAAAAAGGTGACTTGGTCATATTTTTTGCACACAAATTAATAACCTATAATTTCAAAATAACAGAGTCACAGAGTGGATGTTTAAATACACATAGACCCATCATTCATGCGTATGTTTGAATATATGTCTATGTGTCTTTCACTAAATAGTTATATTCAGTATATTGTACTCATGGTGAAATCTCAAACAAGTCATGCACATAATAACTAGAAAAATTCCTTTCCAGAAGGTGTCATTTTTCAGACACTGCAACTTTTTCTTGAGAGCAGATCCAATTTATTAAAAAAGCATTCAAACATGGCAAATATACTAATGTTCCTTATGTTTACTTGCCTACTCAGCATAAGCTGCTCAGGTGTGTTGAGTTCCTGATAATGCTAAATCCTCATTAATTTGCACTAATGAAGGGGATGTCCTTTATAAATTAACAAATTTAATATACCAAATTACTGCAGGAAAAATATATTGCTTAAATAAACATCACGAAAATTGCAGGATTTAATTTTTTTTTGATCCATAATTGCAACAAAATTATTTTCAATCACTTATAGCAAAAAGTTGTTTTGTAAAAAAGTCTGTGAATTCTACCCAAAACATGCATAATTATGCTTGCTGAGTAATTTTAATTAAAAAGATTAATTTTTTTTAGAAAGATGCTTTTAGTGTAGAAGTGTACAACTTCTAACTTGTGTTTTCCCCAAGAATATTCAGAAGGTTTCTATTTGGAACCTTAATCGTTAAAGATATTTTTAAAGCCTCCCGGGTAAATATCTAATTTTAGGAAGGGAGATTATCGTGATTGTTAATATTTTTTTAGGAATGGAGATTATTTTAGGTTGTCTCCGTGTAGATAGATTTTTATAATAACCTCCTGTTCTGGTATTTTTATGTAACATTCAATTTAAAAAGGAAATGTTATGGTTAACCTTTCCTCTAATCTGAGATCTTTCATGCTGGAGCTAGAAAAGCTCTGACTCTTTTTTTTTTTTCTTGAAGGTCACAGTGACAACTACTTGGTTTGTCAAAAGTATATTTGAAAAGCATCTTGATATTCATGTTGGGATTGGGACCTCTGTCCAATTCTTGTGACCCTGAGCTTACAATTTCAGTCCGGCTGTCATGTCATTGATGAGACCCAAAGGGCAGAAAAGGAAACTTCTCTCCTAATGTGGGCACTTGCTTAGAAATGTGGATCTTCTTCTAGGTATTCATAGGGAAAGATAAATGTTGTGAATCTTGGATTAAAATCTTTCTCTCAGCTTAAATTTCCCCCAAAGAAGCACAGATTCATTTTCTGAAGCCCAAATCAAGAAAGTCATAGCCACGTCAGAAACAGGTATTGCCATATTATCAACTCAGGCTGTCCTCTTTAATGCTTGCTGCTTGAGAAAGTCCAAAGGGTATTGTATACACTCACATTCTGATCCCTTTCACTTGTTCCAATTTTTTGTGGGTGTAAGAGGCAATGTAGGCTCTGGTGCCTTGATAATAATCTCCTATCTTGAATGGCCGGTCCTCCTAATGTTTGATAGAGAGGGCCATCCATACTTAATCTTCACAAGAAAGACATATGTGGTCGTACTAAAGGTATATTTCTGATCTTTATATATTCATATTTTACTTGACGCTTATTCTTAAACATCCCTGCTGAATCTCACGTTATTTTTTTTCCCTTCTGGTTCCACAAAACCTTTTATCCCTAGAGAAGCTTCTGAGGTTGAAGAAATATTGCCAGTTAAATTAAATCTTCTTACCTACTGGACTAGATCTAGCATGGAAACCTGAAATGGTCATATTTATATTTAAAGGTCATTTACGTTGATTGTGAGCATTTCTAACTCCATGATTAACAGACAGTTAATTCAACATAAAATGATAAAGATGATTTGCTTAGGATTTTAGTAGGCGCTGGTAACTTCCGTAATATATGTGTATATATCACAACAGATTCAAGATATCTTTTTGTCCTGGTTAGTAAAGAATGAAATATTATTAAGTCATTAACAATAATTATGCAAACAGTGAAGGTTGAATGATATTCATCATGGCATCACTGCATCTTTTCAGGCTTCATATTCTTACTGAAAATACTAGCTTTTAGCATGGGAACCCCTTTTCAATAGGACGGAAGAAGACAGAATTGGTTAGGCGATGGAATCGTCCTTTGTTCCATTATAAAGACGGTAAATTGAAAGAAAGCACATCAAAGCTTAAACAAGACTGTCACGATTCCCATGATAATGGTGTGTCCAGACGTATATAGTTTCTTCTTCACTCCCTTGGGGTGGGAGCTCCCTACTTACTCTGTGCCCTGCCTGGAATCACTGAAAGTCTATAGAGAAGGCGCCCCCATTTGGGTCACCGTTGGCAATTTTCCATAGAGTTCAGTGTCAGAACTTGATGTTTTTCACCAATCCCACTGAGAAACATCACTGGTTTTTGGTTTTGGTTTTGAACAAACATGTAGTTCTCCGAAGATTGATAACCTAAAAATTCTGACCACACCTTTGATCCTACAGCTTTGACATTTTTTTACTTCGATCTGCCTTCCTTTCTGAGAAGAAGCCCACAGCCTCCTTGCTGTATGTTGTTCTGCACTAGCCTTGCAGGGGGGTGGAGAATTCTTCTTACATACTCCAGCATAGCTCATCTCATGCTCTTGCCCAAGAAAGAAGAACTACTTATTTGGGCAGATTTTTTTTTTTTTTTTTTTTTTGCATTTCTGACTTTTGGGGTGGATAGAGCCTGGGCTTTCATCACCCTCTTGCAATACTTTCTTCTTTTACGCTCTTTTGTAATTTGAAGGTAGGCTGTGGAAGTGGCTCCCAGCCTCCTGATAATACATCATAATATCCTATCACCTTTTCTTTTTGCAGACATCATCACTGGCATGCCAGCCTCAACTGAAAGAGCATATGTGTCTTCAGGTAAGGAAAATAAGCTCACCGAATTTTACTAACCAGAACGACAGGCATAACTGCTGGCTGCACCTTCTACTAATCAGAATCCCTTCTGCTTCCAAATTGTAGCTGTTCTTGTTTTCTGCTCCCAAATTTTCTCCAGCTCATTTTGCCTTTTGATATTTCGCTTAAAAGAGTACAATTCTTGCTATATGTGTGCAGTTGGGCCTGAGAGGCATGCATGGGAGAAAGAAATGTCTAGATACAGCTTAGTGACATTAGACCAGAGACATCAGGGTTATACATTCAGTTTTTACAATCTTTACAGGTGCTTCTCTTAGCCCTCTCTTCCTTTCATCCATGGTAGTTCATGCCCGGATAGTGTGTCAGTGTCCAATCCCTGACCTCTGGATCCTAACGAGCAGTTGTTGATCACTAAACTTACAGAAAACATTGATAGAAGCCTGAACTTTTCAAATGTTGTTTGGTTTGTTTTTGGCTTGTTTTTGTTTGTTTCTTCCTTGCCTATAATATTTGCCGGTAGCACTTACAAATCTGAGCAGTATTAGCAACTTATAACCCAATTCTACTAATGCATGTATAACCATAATTCATTGATTTCTCCATTGGCTGTGCATTTAATGAATCTGCTGTGAATTCTTTTTTCTTTTTTCTTCTTTCTTTCTTTCTTTCTTTCTTTCTTTCTTTCTTTCTTTCTTCTTTTTAATTTTTATTTTATTTTATTTTTTACTTATCCTCTGTTATTCTCTAGTTAACAGGACCTTGGGATATTTAAAAATTCATATTTAATTGGAGGCAAGTTTTTAGAGTCCTAGGTTCAAAACTCAACTTCAGAAGTATGATAACTTGTTTCTGTGTGACACTGTACAGTTTACAAAGATGTTTACATCTCATTTGGTCTTCACAACAGATGTGTGAAACAAGACATTATTTTTCTTGGTATATATAGATGAGAAAGCTGAAGCACTAGAAATGTTAAGTCCTATGTCTCAGCAAGTAGGAGAGGGGGATCCTTGGGTGGCTCGCGGTTAAGTGCCTGCCTTTGGCCCAGGGCATGCTCCTGGAGACTTGGGATCAAGTCCCATGCCAGGCTCCCTGCATAGAGCCTGCGTCTCCCTCTGTCTCTATCTCTCTCTCATGAATAAATAAATAAAATCTTAAAAAAAAAAAGAGTAGGAGAGCAGATCCCTCCAGCTCAATATTCCTTCCCATTACCTGTATTTAATGTTTTGGCTTCATTGATTTCTCTTGTTATGACCTGTACTTTGTTGAGAAGCTATAAGAGGCCATATCATCGAACACAGACTTTTCTGATTTAACCGTCACCAGTTTCTCCTCTTCCCATCAAAGCCACCTGTTCAAGATCATAAAAGTTAAAATCTCTGTATCTTAGTTGGCTCTGAAAATGCTTAGGGCATATACATGTGTTCTTAAGGTATATGTATGCATGTTACTGGGTGGGAGGATCCTGGGGTCTAAGAGGGTTGTACTTTTCTGAATGATGGAAAGAAAGCAAGAGAGAAGGAGACACCAAGGGAGGGGAAGAAAGAGAGAGGTAAAAAGAACAAGAAAAAAGAAAAAAAAATTGTTGAGGTATCTGAATTTTTCCCCCTTTTGTTCAGGCATTTCTTTCTTATAAGGGTCTCCACTATCAGACTCCAATAGATGCTGTTAGGAGCCTGAGCTTTTCAGATTATGTGGTGCTTCTCTTGGGAATCAGGAGCGATTATAACTATTATTTTCTGATATATGACTTGAATCTTTTAACTTCCTGGCTGCTGAACTCAATACCTCTTTGATACTAACTTGCTCTTCTTTCTGACTAATAAAAACCCACAGGCCCCATGCTTTTTTTTCCTGCATGAGTTGTGTTTTATGCTCTGTCTGTATTTAAACAGTAGTTTCTCTTCCTTTGTACTTGCTACCTAAGAGAATCTTGCTACCGTATATCATCAATGATCGTATTATGAATTTACTTAGCATGTTGTGTTTGATCTTAACCTGATTGCTCCAGTAGATCGATGCATGGACTTTATTCAGCACCATATTTGGTCAGGGTGTTTATGCAGACCATGTTGCCTGAGAATAGATTCATTCTTCTTCTTCTTCTTCTTCTTTTTTTTTATTTCCTCTACGCATGAAAGTTGACTTTCAGTCTCTCTAAATATGGGGATTGTTCTCTTTGGTTTCATGTTTCTGAAAATCAAGACCACACTTGAGGGAAGGAACGGTGCATTTCATCTGTATTGTGGATCTGTTCAGAGTAATGTTTCTAGGAAGTTCATATACCAGTTGGTACATGGGGTATCTTCGCAGATGGACTGACCCCATTTTCATCCCTTTCAAAAGAGTCTTTGGGTTTCGACTACAGAAATAGTCCTCTGTGGTGTTTGAATATTGCATACATCTTCCTCTGACTTTGAAATGCTTCAGCTTTTCTGTTGCACTGTTTTCTAGTCCTCTTTTTCTGGATGATCCTCAAGCGTGGCACATTTCTGGTGTAAGAATGCAAGCAGCCTGACTCAATAAAGCTTCATTTCACTTCTCTGTTTTATAGAGTCTCCCATTAGAATATCAGTATCAACAGAAGGAGCAAATACTTCTTCATGTAAGTATATTTAAATATTCCATATGCTAGTTTCTAACCCAAGACAATATCTGCTTTGCTGGAGATGGTGGTCCTGTGTCTGTCTTCTGCCCTCACTGAGGAACAGTACATCAAGTTTGGGAGTAGGCTGGTATTTGGTGTTTGGAAGGGAATGGCCCCATGCTGTGCTTGGGGGGGACTAGCTATCCCCTCCCCCTAAGATATACACGGATATTAGAAGACACATATGTGGTGGTGTTCTAATGTAGTGTCTTTGAATGTTGACAAATGACTGCAGAGCCTCTGAGGCCTGGTTCTGAGTGAGCAATAGAGAACATTGTTAGTTGTTTTTAGCATATCTTGATGCCTTTAGCAATTGCCTAGCCCTGATCCCCAGCTGTTTGGAGCTTATTCTAAAGCTCCCCAGTTCTCATATAAAGTCTGCTGTGATAGAGTAAGGAAACTATATATAGATGCCCTTAATTCAAATTCAATAGCAAATGACTAATTATGAAAATGTTTGAAAGCAGGTCCCTAGGCAAGATCTCAGATTAGTTTTCATCTGTTTAATATGAAATGTGCTTTGTGCTTATGGAGTTCTACAACTGTTAGATTGATTGGTGCTTTGTGCCATGTCAGGGGAACTTAAGAAATTAGCAAGGACTAGTAAAAATAGTTTTGGTACTTATGAATTCTGAATCTAATAGAATTAAATTTTGATATCCAGTGGGGGAATTTATCAGACCTTGAAAATAAAACCTATAATTAACAGTCTTGCTTTCCCTTATTTTAGCTCTTTATTTAAAGCTATTTCTCAGTTTGAGAAGCTCTTCAATAAATAGGTATTCCCAGTTAACTCTATTTCAACCTGGAGACTGTGTTTATGGCACAATTTCCTTTGGCTATCAACATGGTAGGAAATACTTGCAAGAAGGTCTGTACTTTAGGCCACTTCAATTGTTTTGTCAGTCTGTTTAAATATATATAGTTTGAATCTAAAGCCTTTCCCTTCGGGTTGGTACCAGAACTCTAATGATATGATGTAAACGTATTTTTTATTGCATGAAGTATGATGTTTTGACTATATTTTAGCGAGATAAAGCATCATTTATCTAGATTGATGGAAGCAATCTAGTGAGATCAAACAGGAAATAAGATGCTAGAGAAGACTAAATGGGCTTCTTCTGTATTCTAAAGATACTCATTACATAGTCTAAAATGGTAATCCCTTCTGGGGAGTTTGGGATATTTGTTATTTAATTCTACTTATAAAAAGATTAGTATAATTATATAGATTTTAGCTAACTAGCATTAAGGAATCATGTTGAGCTTTGTTTTAGATTTTCGAGTGTTTATTATACAAGGGCAAATACTAGATTTTTCTTTTTGGCATTTTGTCTGGGAACAATTTCTCCCCTGCATGATTCATTGAATAAAGTTATTGGAACTCTTGTAATTGGAACCCTCCTGCTATCATTAACAGAGCGATGGATGCTATCCTTAAGCATATCCGAGTAGTTTTGGAATAGAAGAAATACTTCTTTGGGTTTTCCAGAGCTTTAGGGAACTGAAATGAATCTCTCAGTTTACATTTGTATTCATTGCAATACTGTTGAGAGAGAAATAATTTTGAAATCTGACTCTGATCTCTAATTCTCAGTAGAGTTAGTTCCTGATATTCGGTAAAGGTTTAAGACTAAGAATGAAGGCTTTGTATTTTGATATCATGTTAAAATATTTCAGTGTGCCATTTGCATACATCCTCCCTTCCCCGTTCATGTTAGGCTCTCAGTAAATACTGTGGAGTTGATTAATGTATACATTTTTTTTAACCTCATGAAAATACACTCTGTAATTTGAAAATATAACCAGTGGTGGCAGGATCCTAAGTCCAGTCTTGGTTGGAGCAATGAGAGCAGCGTGAGGCACTCAACCCATCTGGAGGGAACATCCCCAGAACTCCACAGTGTAGAAATCTGTGATGTCAACATAGCTGCATCCAGTAAAGGCAGAAATGTGAGGAAACAAATAGCCATAAGCAGGACATATACCTTCAAATGATATGTAAGAGTTGAAAGCCTTGGGAAAGTTCACATGGGTTGGAAATAATCAGCCCTAAAGAACAGGTTCCTTTTCACTGCGTTTCAGCCAGAAAGGAGATACCAGTAAATCCCTGTGCTTGAAAAGTGAACCGTGCTTTTGCAATGTAATCATGTCTGGGGGGGGGGGGGGGGGGGGCTACATTCTCTGAACTGTTGACACTGGTGTTCTCTATGTACATTTTTTTAAAAAAGGTTTTATCTATTTATTCATGAGAGACACACAGAGAGAGGCAGAGACACAGGCAGAAGAAGAATCTGGCTCCCTGTGGGGAGCCTGATATGGGACTGGATCCCAGGACCCTGGGATCACATCCTGAGCTGAAGGCAGATGCGCAACCACAGAGCCACCCAGGGTGTCCCTCTCTATGTACATTTTGAAAAGCCTTCCTAAAGTACTATGGATTCAGCAAACCTTTTATGTCTTATGATGAGTTGGTGTGCTTGTGGGGTCAGCCGCAGCCCTGCTACTTCTCCATCTTTCGGGTCCAAATGTGCATACTTCTGTGCAGAAACATCCCCTTACCGCCAGTCCTATTGATGAGAGAACCTCACTGCTGAGTAAATCCTGGGAGGGTTCAGCAGTATTAGTTGAAGCCCTTGGCCCCGTTCAGGTGCCCTGCAGGGTGCCAAGTCCATCTTTGCTGCCCACATCCTGCTTCTCCCCAAACCCCTCCCTGACCATGCCCAGCCTCAAAGTTCTACTTTTGTCCTCTGTAACTCCTGTTGGGATAGAAAAGACAAAAAGAAGAGAACAGAATTGCTCACCTAGCTATCTGAAATACCACTGCTAATATTTTAATATATATTTTTCTCATCAGTGTTTTTTATTCTGGCTTTCCTGTTTATCTACCCTCCCCCTCTCTACTTTTAGTGTATCAAGCATTTTTCTCATGTCACTAAATACTAATCAGAAATATTTTAGAATAGTTTTAAATCTTAAATTTTTAAATAACTTTTTAAATCACTGTAACAATAAAGCAGTTGTTCTTGACTAGAGGTTTTAAAGGGTTTATGTTTCATTTACAAGTACCCTATCATTTCTTCTACCTAGCATTTCATAAATATTGGTGAAATATCAAAGTTACTAATCCTTCCCTTTTTTTTTAAAGATTTTATTTATTCATGAGAGACATACAGAGAGAGAGAGAGAGAGGCAGAGACACAGGCAGAGGGAGAAGCAGGCTCCATGCAGGGAGCCTGATGTGGGACTTGATCCTGGGTCTCCAGGATCACGCCCTGGACTGAAGGCAGCGCTAAACCGCTGAGCCACCCGGGCTGCCCCATAATCCTTCCCTTTGTAAGGACAGTTTTAACTTTCTTTTTTGCAATTAGGATTGAAATTTGAACTGTACGCTCACTATTTTTTAGTTGTTAACTTATAAAATTTTCAAGAAGTTTCTTATAATGATCTTATAATTAACATTATTTTCCTTTATTTTATTCTTCTTTTTTGGTAAATGAGGCATTGGTGACTTGAAACGTATGATTTGCTAAATGAGTGTCCTATATTACACATAGTAAGTGATATGTAAAGAGAAGAATGTGAACCTTACAAAACAGTTAGTAGGGCTCTCTTGTTCCTCCTTTATGTGTAGGATCAGCAAAAAAGTAAAAGAATTGCTTGGAACAAACCTCAGACTACTCTCTGAAGTGCTAGCTGTCTGTGACCCTATTTTGGTGTGATTTTTTTGAATGCTATAAAAAAGTGCAACTGTTATATCAGTCACTTTACTGAATTGAGAACCATCCATTTCAGTTTAATATGTAAATGAAGGAAACAAAAATAAAAAATCTAATGAATAGTAATTGGAAAAAATAAAGATAAGTTTCTGGAAAACAGTCTTCAATAGTAATAAATTTCTAATAATAATAATAATAATAATGGGAAACATCTATTGAAGACTTTCTATGTGCCAGGCACTGTGCTAGGTGATTTGCATGGATCATAACTCATAGTTCTCATAAAACCTTAATCCATTTTTCAGATGATAAGGCTGATAGATCTTACCTGAAATCAGAGAAGCAGAATTCAAACCCAGGCAATCCACTAGCCTGTCATGCATGACATGTGAGGTTTTGTTGCCTCAAAGAAAGAGCCTTTAATATTAAAAAGAATGAGATTTTGTGAATGGACTGGAAAGTAATCTTTTACGCGAAGTGGATTGGGAGTATGAGTGGCAGCTTAGGTAAATGCAGGACCTAGGACCAGCTGAGCCCATATGATCTGTGTTTTATGCATCAAAGCATGCCAGGCAGTGAAGTGAAATGTAGAAAACACACAACTTGGGTGGACACATGCTCAGAAATCTAAATATGAGTGCTGTAATTACTAGGTAAATTTAGGTAAGTTGTTTAATTTCCCTGAGACTCAGTTTCAGGGCCCATATAATCTTGTTTATCTCAAATCTACATTGGAAGCCTAATGTGGGAAAATTAATGTGAATCATTTAGCACAGCTTTGCTTTTAGGTGGTCTCCTCTATCTGTGGGAGAGAGAAAAATGAAAAAAAAAAAAAACAACAATGTGACTCTGAAGAGAGACTGATAATCAGAGGAGGCCTTCTATCTCATTTGAACAATGTAGGAAAATATCTGTATTTTTGGAGGAGGAAAGGGGTTAATTTTTTGCACTCTAAATGATGATGCTGAAAGTTCTATGCCAAGAAGTCACTATGTCTTTTCAGAATATTCTATATTCTCAGCTAAGGCTGCATTTCAAAGGAACTTATCCAGGAAGTCCTCGGAAATCTCTGAATGAAATGGACAATTCAATCTTTAATTTGGCACCTAAAAGAGCTAGCTGAAGGGGAAAATGTCTTTTGTCTGCAGGACATTTCTGTTATAATGAGATACAGCATTTTCACTTGGGAATAGCACAGTGATACGTATTGATTAGATAGCACCATGTCTGCTGGTCCAT